AATTTCATTTGGGGGGCCCAACGTGGCGGCCTGGCGGCTAAAGTCCTCACCTTGCACATGCCCGGGATCCCATATGGGCGCCGGTTCTAATCCCAGCAGCTCCACTTCCCATCCACCTTCCTGCTTGTGGCCTGGGAAAGCAGTCGAGGTCGGCCCAAAGCCTTGGGACCCTGCACCCGTGTGGGAGACCTGGAGGAAGTTCCTGGCTCCTGATCAGCACAGCACTAGCTGTTGTGCTCACTTGGGGAGTGAATCATCGGACGGAAGAGCTTCCTCTCTGTCTCTCCTTCTCTCTGTGTATCTTTGAAATAAAATAAATCTTAAAAAAAAATCATCTGGGAGCCAGCAATTGTGGTGTTAAGAGGTTAATTCACTACCTGTGACACTGGCATTTCATATGGGCATTGGTTCAAATCCCAGCTATTCCACTTCCGATTCAGTTCTCTGCTAAGGTGCCTGGGAAAGCAACAGAAGATGACCCAAGTATTTGGGTCCCCGCACCTCCATAGGAGTCCCGTATGAAGTTCTTGGCTCTGGACTTTGGCCAGCCTGGCTCTGCCTGTTTGTGGCTATGTAGGGAGTAAATCAGCAGATCAAACATCTATTTGTGTCTCTTCCTCTCTATAACTCTGACTTTCAAATCAACAAATAAAAACCTTCAAAACAGTTTTTGGGGTAGGCCCCAGCTCAATAGGCTAATACACCTGCAAGTGCCGGCATCCCATATGGACACCTGTTCATGTCTTGGCTGCTCCACTTCCAATGCAGCTCCCTGTTGACGGCCTGGGAAAGCAAGAGCAAGTTCCTGCACCCACACAGCAGATGAACAGGAAGCTGGTGGTTGCCAGCTTACGATCAGCTAAACTCTGGCCATTGGGACCACATGCAAGATCTTTCTCCATCTCTCCCTCTCTCTGTAAATTTGTCTTTCAAATTAAAAAAAAAAAATCATCTATAAAAGATCAGTACGTTTTTCTTAATAGTCAAGCAAAAAACTTGAATTCCTTTGCTTTCCTCTCCAGCCCTCTCCCTGGAGACAATCATTGTTGTCAGTTTATTTCCTTGCAGATTAATTTCTGTGTATTTTTAGACATATGTACACTTCGAGGAGGGTGTTTTTTTTTTAATAAAGATAGGATCATACTGTTTATACCATTCTTCACATTTTTTAACCCCCTTTTAAAATGTCTTGGAAACTCACATGTCAGCATGTTTAGTTCTATTCTAACTCAGTTTTTAAGCATCTTGAGATACTCCGTAGTATTGATGTACCGTGGTCTATCCATTGATCTGCTGCCACTTAGGACGACACCCATTTTATTATCATTTTTGTGTGTGTGAAGGGATATTCTTTCCTATTTAATTACTTCATTCAACAATCAGAAAGAGAGAGTGCTCCTATCAACTGGCTCCCCCACTGAAGTGTCTACCACGGAGGGCCAGGCTGAGACTGGGAACCAGGACCTCCGCCCTCCCATGTGAGTGGCAGGGCCAAGTCACCTGACCCACCTCCTGCTGCCACGTTAGCAGCAAGCTGCAATCAGAAGCAGACTTGGGACTGGAGCCCAGAGATTGCAGTAGAAGATTCCGACACACAAACTGGCCAGACCATCCACTGAACTGAAGCCCTGCCCAGGAAGCTTCTAGTTTCACTACTACTACAAGCAAGGTAGCCAACAGGGAAGATCTGTGAACATGTTTCTTTCAGCCCAAGGGAAGATGCTTCTCTAACGCAAAACTTACAAGTAGAACTGGAGTTCTGAAGGTGAGCCCACCAGTTGATGGGTTGAACCAAAACCCTCTCTCTCTCATTTCCAATCTCTCTTCCTACCTGCCGTAACAGGGCAGGAAAAGCTGAAAACTTATTTTCTTCCCAGGTGCTTGCAGCTAGGAATGGCCATGTGACCCAGCTCTGGACAATTAAGCAACAGCAAATGTTTGGTAGGCTGTTCTTTAGCTTTTTGTTTTCCAGGTAGAGTGAACGGACACCACCGGCAGTGTCTCTTTTTCCCATCTTGAAGGTTGCCCGCTGTTTGCAGGGGTGGCAGCTGGGTTACCACAGGCGGGAAATGCAGGGGAATCACTGTGATGTTGTCCTGACACCGGTGAATTGCTAAACCACCCTTCCGATTGCCGCTTACATGAGCAGAACAAATCGCTGGTTCAAGTTGCAGTAGTCTGGGTTTCTGTTCCTTGCAGCCAAAAGCATTCCTAACTGCTAAATTACTCTCTAGAAAGTCTACACTCACTTTACTTTCTCATTGCCCAGAATACACATTTCCCAAACCTGCATCCACTTTTGAACACCGGCAGTCACTTATGGGTTCATCCAGGCTGACCCCTGAAACTTTTACATGAAGTGGAATGTCCATTATTAGCTATTCAGACTTCCTCTTCTGTGACTCAGCTGCCCTTATCTCTTGTCGACACTTCTACTGTATTGTCTGTTTCTTTTTGATGAGTGAGAGGAAATTTCCAGAGAGCAAGATTGGCTAAGCTAAACTGAAGTGAGAATCCGTGTCTGTAGATTTGCACTATCAACCCAATCGGATACAACTCTGAGAAACAAATCTTGCATAACTAGCCGGGCTGACAGCCGCAGCTGAGCAGAGCACCACCACGTGGCAGTGTGTCAGGAGCCCCTGAAAGCATGCGGAACACCACAGTCTGTGCCTAGTGCCTCCCTTACAATCTGCACCTGGAGAGAGGTTTAGGAGACAGTGATAACTGGTAAACCAGACAAATCCTGGAGGAACACAATCTCTGGCAACTGTCCCATCACCCAAGAGACAGTCATTTTCTTGCTGTTTCACAGAGTGAACGATGAAAGCAAACATCTACAAATTGGCATTTTTTTTTCCCACCACAAAAACTTAAAAGACATCCTGGGCCTAGTACTTAAAAATGAAAACGATACAGTGTTTGCCTCAAACTAAAGTTATGTGAAATAGATCATGCCTACCCGAAGACAGCAACATGCTCCTACAGGAACATTGCTAAACCTTTTTAGTGGTTTATGAACCTGAAGCAACTCCACAATTCGACTCTAAAGGTTTACTGCCACACTAGAGATAACCAAGATCATTCCCATTTTTCAAAAGTCAAAAAAAAAAAAACCAGCTAAGCCGAGCAGATTTTCACTGCTTCAGACAGATTTACAAGCCAGTCACTCCACCCCAGAACAGCAGGCAAGGAATTCCTCAAATCAGTTAACAAACAACCAAGCTGACAAGGGACAGCAAACAAAACAGGCAGCTCAAGGTATCGAGTGGCACAGGTGGCACGGCAAACAAGTGGCACCCAGCAAGCCCGGCTTATGGTGTGTGTCCACCGCTTGCATCTCAGATCAGAGCGACCGCTTGCAAAGTCAGGGCAGCTCGAGGCACAGGCAAGTCAGCAAGGAGCAGGCGGCTCGGACAGACGCTCTCCGCCACACCTCTCCCAACCAGAGCCGCGGATTCTCTCTGGCAGAGCATCACACAGGGCACTCAGTGGCAGCTGGAGGGAGTACCCAGAGCAAACGCTCCTGCAGCCTCTTCCCAGAGGTGGCACACCCAGCTGGGACCTCGCAGCTGACAGCGCCAGTGACAGGAAGGCCCGGCCATGCTGGGGCCCTGGGGAGGCGCAGCGATTCAACCAGCACGCCTTCTTAAAATCATTTTCTTTTCTGGGGGCCCTTTTATTTGTACAACACAGGGGGGAAAAAAACTACCTGAGAGAGTCTGAATTTTTTATTTTCTAAACAAGAAAACCAATCTGTAGGCACATTTATGTTTGCGACCTACAAAAGCGCCAGCAGGTTGAGAAATCCCCCACAGGATGATACTTCTGTTTTGTTTCCATTCTCCAAGGCGGAGTGGCCCCCACTCTGGACATTGCTCCTCCCACCCTCACCCCATTTCCTTCACTGGTACAGCAAGGCGGGGGGGGGGAAGGAAGGAAAAAGAAATCCGACTCTTTCCCAAAGTCTGCTGTGGTCAAGCCAGGCCCTGGGAAGGGGGCAGATGTTCCAGGGAGCCCTACCCAACTTCAGCCCACACAACTTCAGGGAAGCTTCAGTGCCCAGAACAGAACACGCAAGGTTCCTCAGTATTTCCAAATAGGATACCCAAGAGAGGGGTACCAGGTCTTGGCCAGTGGGAAGAAAGGGATGGGGGAAAAAATTCAGGAAAGGCGGTTAGGGCTTCAGTGAAACAGTGTCAAAACCTAGCCAAGCACAGCATAGCACAGTGCTGCTGAGTTCCTGGGAGGCGACACTGCCAGGACCCTGGGGGCTCCTCTGGGGCCCCTCACCCAGCTGGGTCCTCACAGGACCCAGAAAAGGCAAGAAGGGGAATGGTTCCACACTGCTCCCACCTACACACACACAGCCTGTCTGGGACCTACAGGCAGCACCAATGTGGGCAGTGGATAGACACAACTCCTCTGTCAGCGGGCTGGAACAGTCACACACAACACATACACACAAACTCCGCCAGAAGAGAACACACACAACATCTGAAGGCTGTTGTGCATGCACACACATACACACACATCCCACAAGCTCGCAGGGACGCCCACACCGCTACAAAATTCACACGCAAACTCAGAGGCAGGCCAGAGAAGCCACACTCCCAAGCAGCAGGGTGGGCGCGCACACACCGCCACAAGCTCGCGGGTCCGGTGCGCAGACAACGCAGCACGGACGTGTACACTCTCACACCTGGCTGGCAGACAGGCAGGTGCACAACACACTCCCCTCCTCCCGGGTAGGTGCCAGGGCAGACATTCTCCCAACTTCTCCGCCGGCTCCTGCACATGCAACACTCAACAGCGGCTCGGCCGATACACACACAGCCTGGCTCCTCCGGGCGCGCCCCACACCCACGCACACCCTCCCTTCCACCCGCTCCAGGCCAGGGGCACCCTCCCCCTCCCCCAAGCCCGTGCCGGCACGGGGGATGGGGGTGCACCCGTCCCCAAGCCCGCAGCCACAGGCCGGCCACCGAGCTCCGCCTCACCTTTCTCGCTCGCGCCGGACACACGGCCCTCGTCCTCCTTGGGGTTGGTCACCTGGGTGATGATGGCCGGGCCGTCCATGGGTGCGCGGCGTGGCGGTCGCCCGCAGGCCCGGCCCCCCGCAAGCCAGGCGCGCGGGGCCGCGGCGCGGGGGGCGCGCGGGGGCGCTCGCAGCCGCCACCTGGGCGCGCCCGCCGCCCGGCCCCGCGCTCTGGAAGAGGCGGCCCGGGCCCGCGCCCCAGCTCCTACAGCCGCCGCCGCCGCCGCCTCTGCTGGGCTCCAGCTGCGGCGGCCTCCTCGTCACCATGAACCCCCGGAGCCGCGCCCGGGAGAGCAGCGAGCGCACCGAGAGGCGGAGCGGGAGAGCCGGCGCCGCGGGAAGCGGGAGCGGGCGAGCAGGCGAGAGGGAAGGAGAGCGAGCGAGGAGCGAGGGCGGGAGGGCGGGAGAGAGGGAGGGAAGGAGAGAGGAAGGGAGGGAAAGAAGGAGGGCGGGCGGGCGGGTGGGTGTGTCCCGGCCCAGGGACCGGCCTCCGCCGCCGCCGCCGCCGCCGCCAGCGCGGCTCGCCTGGCCTGCCCGTGGGGAGGGGAGAGGGTGCGGGGTCGAGGCTGTGGTGGTGAGTGGAGTGCGGGAGGGTGTCCGCGTGCAGGTTGGGGTCTCGGGCACATGAGTGGGGTCTCAGGGTGTAGGGGCTGACACAGAGGGCGGATGTGAGGGGGTGCCAGGAGGCCTGGCTGTGTGAGTGCTGTGGGGAGGAGCGTGGCAGGCAGGCAGGCATCTGCAGGGCCCTCGGGTGTGCGGTGTCGGGCTCAGGGCCCCGGGCGGGACGGTTGGCAGGCAAGACTGGCCTGGGTAGACGTGTGGGATGGGAGGGGGCGAGCCGTGACGATGCGCCGCGCTGCGCCGCGCCGCAGGTGCCTGCAGGACACTGGGCCTCCCCACGCGGGACGCGGCTGCTGAGGGTCCACGCGTCCAAGGCGGCCCCAGGAGGGTGGCAGTGTACTGGCGCGAGGAGGGACCCCAGACCGTGGGGGTAAGTAAGCTTTGGAGGGACCCAGGGCTACAGGGCTGTGCGGATTGCCGGTGAGGCCCTTGAGGGCGCGAGGGTGAGGGAGTGGTCAGTTCAGAGAGAGAGACAGAGACAGAGAGCGAGCGCCTGCCGGTGAGCCATGGTGGGTGTCGGCGGGACTCGAAAGGCCGCGTGCGTGGCGACGAGTCCTGGAGGACCAACCTCCGTGTCTGAAGAAGCAGAGGAGGTAGCCATCGAGGGGGTCCCCGGCCACGGGCGGTGCAGTAAAGGGGGCAAGGGGGAGTCTGTGGAGGACAGAAGCGCGGAAGGGTCTCCGCCTGGGCCAGGGCAGTGGGCGGCCGCCATGTGCCGGAGCGTGGGAGTGACGGGGAAGGCGCCCCCTCAGCCGGGACGGGCTCCGGGGCGCTTTGGCACTCGCTGCAACTTGCAGGGCAACAGCGCTGGTAAACGGGTGGGCGGGACGGTGCCGCAAGGGGCAGGGGAGGAGTGCCCGCGCGCTCCGCACCAATCAGGAGGGCTCGCGAGGGTCTGCGGGGTGTGACGTAAGTGGGCAGCCGGGGCGGTCAGCCGAGTCCCTGTGCGCCCCGGGCCTCGCGGACACCCTGCGCCTCACGCCGTCTTCCAGGAGGCAAGGCTCGTGGGAGCCTCCTGACTTCTCCCTACCCAGGAGCTGGGGGAACCGGGTTACAGCCCGGCCTGTGTTCACCGGAGGGAGCCAGCGAGCCTCTCCGGAAGTGCATCCCACAGACACCGTGCTGTCCCCTCTCTGTACCTGGTGCTGAGCCCATTGCGGGAGGATTCCGGTGTGGGCTGGAGGCGCGTGGGAAAGCGCAGCTAGAGAGGGGGCATTTTGCTCCACAAATCCGGGACCCTCAGTGGCCTCTGGGCTTTGTGAGGCGTAGGTGGAACCTGGTGCCAGTTGGGCTAGGGGGAGGATGGAAGCGCACGTGTGAGCAGTCCAGAGCCCCCCTTGGGGACGCCATGAGCCACCTGGGGACAGAGCAGCTAAGAAGGTGGAAATGAAGCATCCTTTAGGCTCCCTAACCTACAATCTCGGGGGAGCCGCTACAATCTCGATTAGGGAGGGGTCCATGGCTTTCCTTGCCCCAGCTTCTCCAGCCCCTCCAGGTTTGTTGAGCCAGGGCACGGAAGGCCCTCGGCTTGAGCCCCAGAGTGTGAATTCAACAGAAAAGGGCTTCCCAGTTAGGTGCGAGGAGAGCCTGGGGACCAGGCCCTGCAGTTTGTGGCATGCCCTGGTACATGCAGGGAGTCCAGCGTTGAAAGCCAGTTGCTGACCTTGGAGGGTCTCCCTGATGCGTGGCACCAGCACTGGATGCCTCGGAGGCTGCCATGGTGGCAGTAGGGCAGGTTAAGGGTCCCTCAAAGGTTCTGGTCACTAAATTAAGGCTAGAGGAGCTCAGTTCCCGGATGGTGAATGGCTTCTGCTTTCAGTGTTTGGCCCCGAGCTTAGCAGTGACCTGGAAGGACCGTGTCCAAGCTGTCTTCCTTCGCCGACATCCCCCACTGTCTGGGTGTCGCCTGCAAATCCTCCACTCCGTTTACCTGCCTGTCTCAGGCTCAAGCCAGAAGGCAGCTTGCCATCTCTTCAGTCCCCAGTCCCTCCTCGTGTTGTACATTTTCATATACATTGGCAGAAATGTTTAACTAGAATGCATGGCCATTTCCATCTTTAAATCAACTCTTTTTTTTTTTTTAATTTCTCCCTGCCCCTTCCTAAATGCTGACTTTCATGGAGCTGGGGGAAAAAAAAAACTGAAAATGACACAGCTCACATTTTCCCGTGTGCTGATATAATCATTGTTAACTACCATTATACGTGATTGCATAATAGCCCACCATAAGAGTCTTAGATCACACTTGGTTTTACTGAGGAAGGAAAAATTAAAATTCTTGTTATGACAACAAGGAGAAAATCTGTCTGCCTCACTTCCTACAGCATCTACGTGGCAGATCATTCGATGAGATATAGAAAAAAAAACACCAAATAAAGAAATAAATATGTAGAACAAACCAATTTGGGATGAGAAAGGCATAAGATTAACAAAATCTCCCCAAATTCCAAAGAACAAGACTGATAAACTTAGCTACACTTTTTTTTTTTTTTTATGGAGTGCCTTCTGCACGCTAAGGTCACATCACTGGGGGTCTCTGCTGAAATGAGGCGTAGAGACTTGGGGGTTTGGTCTCACATGAGTCAGGCCAAGGCCAGGCTGTCCCTTGGGGACGGAGGGAGGGAAGGTGACCACATCTGGCCCCCCGGATGTGAGCACAGTGCTGACTCTTAGACAAACGTGCCCAGGACAGCAACTGGGGACCCAAGGGGCTCCAGGTTACACAGCAAAGAGGGAGGGGAAGTCGTGTCTCTCAAACTGCCATCGTGGTGTCCTGGGCAACCTGCAGGAGGACAAGCTAGATGTTTGTTTGAAAGAAATGGAAACTATAGGAAGGCCCACAGCCCTAGCAGAAAGTACTCTACATAGTGTGTGGAGACGTGCAACTAGGGGTGGCAGGCGATGCCAGGGAGCCCCGGACAGGGGCAGGTAGGAAGCGGAAGGTGTTGGGGAGAGCAGCCTGGACTGGAATCTATTGGCTCACCAGTGTGATGAGGGGAGAGCTGGACTTGATGGTGGAGGATGCGGGAGGGGTTGCCCTGGGGCGATGAGTGAGGGAGGGGCTGTGTCTGCCCACAGGGAGGGTCTCTGCGGAAGGGAGGCTGGATGCTGAGAGCAAGGTCAGGCGCTGGGTAGGATTCAGGTCAAGCCAGGCGTTACTCACCAGGAAAGCCTCTGGGCTTTATTTCGGGGGGCTGTGGGGATGATGTAATGAGATGCATGTTTAGGATATTTCTGATAAATGAGAGATCACATCCAGGACTGGGACACCCAGGTAAGGCGTTGCATAGTTCAGAAAGGGGATGGTAGTTGTGGGGTTGGATGGTTGGGCTTGGGAAGTGATGGATGTGCCAAGATGAAATGACCACCATGTGTCTGCCTGGGGTGCCGGAGTCCAGCTCCAGCTGAGTTCGGAACTCGAGAAGGGTGCGTGGATGAGGCGTAAAGAGGAAAGAAAGAGACGGACCACTAGGACTTCATGATCATAATGGACCACGCACAAAAGCTGTCCGCTTTATTTATACAAAGTCAGTCAAATTCTGGCTCAGACTTTTTACGTCATGACCAAGTGGGTGTTTCTAAGGATAATTCTGCCATTAGTTTTACCTAGAAACAATAGAAGTTCCTGCTAACATTACCTAGAATTTCCTACTACGATTCTTATCCTACAACTCAATCTTGTACCACAAAGAAAAGGGGAGTCTAAAGAATGAGGAAAGAATGAAGGCCTAAATCTAGATCCCTTGATTAGCATAGGCTCAATGGGCACAGCCAAGACAGTAGGAATGATAAAGGGCCCCATTTGCAAGACATTGACCTCCAAGCTCAGGCTGAGCAAAAGGTTAACCTCGCAGTAGCAAATGCCAGGATGGATTAGAATTCTTCCGCAGGGTGATCCAGTGTCCATGCAAAAGAAGGTGGAGATGCATTCAGGTGGTTGTAGAGACATCCGCCGGGTGGGCCCTGCCGAGCAGCGGGAAATTCCTTGCGGCCCTGCCTGCAATGGAACACTCTTCACCCCCTCATGTCCCCCACATCTACTGCACGGACCCCAACACTGGGGGACCCGGGAAGAAAGCTGAGGCCTCCCGGGATGCCCTGTGGATCCCTCGCTCCCAGCCTGTTCTACTCTCCATCTTTGCATCTCCCTCCAGGCGGTTCCTTGGTCTCCTTGGCATCTCGGGGGCAGGTGGGGCTCAAGTTTTGTGTGTCTGCTGTTCAAACTCTGCCTCTTGGTCTTCCGGCTATAGCTTTGTAATCATTTGTCTCAGACAAAGCTTGTCAGTCCCTGGCCTGGGGAGGGGCAGGAGTGGAAGCAGGAAGCGACCACGGATTCCTGGTGGTTAGTCAAGCAGTTGCAACCCTGAGCCTGCCCACAGGTCTTGCTCTGGGGGTGACCTTGGGACCTGGAGAAGGTCCC